AGGCTCAACTTTTTTACTGACTTTCTAATATACAAGCTCTGAAGTGAACACAGTAATAGTGGAGGCTGGGGACCTGTGAGATCTCCCTTCTGAAATCAGAGATATCACAGGTGTGGGGTGTGGTGCAGCGGGACAGGGCTGGCGAATCATCAAGGCAGTCAGTGTGGGGTAGCTGAGTGTGAGCTAAAATGCTCAAACCCAGCCGTGAGAGCCAGGAGCTGGTCTGCAGTGTGACCTGGAGAGGGAGAGGTACCATTTCTCTGGCTAGGAAGCTTTTTCAAATAGCTCCTCAGTGATTCTCAGTCCTCAAGCTATCCACTTGCCCAATGAACAGAGGATTAAGAAAGGTCAGTCAAGGGAAAAGAAATGAAATGGGCACAGAGAGAGAAGAGTCTTGGGAGGGGAATGAATGAGGCTGGACCTCAGTTCATGCTGAGTGTCTGGGGTTTCCCGGACTTCTTACCAGGGTCTCTGTTGAAAGGTCTCCTCCCAGCCTTATGACCCTCTGGTGGTACTGAGCAGCAGACAGCCTTTCAGAATTCACCGACTTGTTGAACTTTCTAAAGCAGCTGCTTTCGGGGGGACTGGCGGCCACATGAGGCATGAAGCACAGGCTGTGAGATCTGACACCGTCAGGAGCAGGCTGTGAGTGCACGCTCATGGGAGCACCCACACAGGAACGCACACTGCGAAAGCTTCATTCACAGTGGAGCCTCCACCCTGCTGGGAGTGGGGGTAATGGCTGGATGGCCTAGGATGTTGGCCCCAGCGGTACGTGGGCTTGAAGAGGGATTACCCAGAGTCAGATACATACTGTGCTGTTGTTTCCACTGGTAAGATGGACTCTGGGTCATCAGAGATGAGAACTAGTCACTTGTATGCAGGAAGTGGTATTAGGACGAGAGAGAGAGAGAGAGAGAGAGAGAGAGAGAGAGAGAGAGAGAGACGGAGAGACTGACTTTTCTAGCTCTGATCCTGGGCCAGTTACTTAACCCCTCTTTGCCTCAGTTTCCTCACCTGTCAAGTGGAAAAAATAATACTAATATTAATCACCTTATGAAGTTGGGTGAATGAAGCAAGATACACATACAAAGTGCTCAGCACTATGCCTGGACCTGGTAAGTATTCATCCAAGTACAGTGGGGCCTTGACTTACAAGTGTCCCGACTAACGAGTTTTTCGAGATACGAGCCGTCTCTCGGCCGATTTTTTGCTTTGAGTTGCGAGCTAAAATTCGGGTTACGAGCCAGCTTCAGATACCCCAACGCTAGTTGGCGCAGCGAACATCACAGTGAATGCCACAACATCAGCCCAGCATCACGTGTCATTGTAATGGTGAAAATTGATTTGACATACAAGTAATTTGAGTTACGAGCTCCATCATGGAACGAATTAAACTCGTAAGTCAAGGCCCCACTGTACCTAAAACAGTGTCTGACATTTCATAGCACTCAGTAAATTTCTATTGAATGAATGAATGCTAGCCATTATGCATAAAGATAAGGACTATTTCTGCATGCTTGTGTTGGCTGATACTATGGAGATCTACATCAGCATAGTGAGTGAGGAAAGTTACAACTGCCATAGTTTTTAGGAGGTGCATATACAGGTAGTAAAACTAATTATCAGGTATAAATTGGTCTTCACATTTCACTGGAGGCACATCGAAGCCATCTGTGTGAGCTGGTCATTTAAGTACAGGTTCCAGGTCCTCAGAATCCTCTGATTTCTGCTGTTCAAGGTCCCTGCAGTTTTCTTTCCCATTCGTTATAGATCTGTGTGTTGTCTGTCAGCCCTTGGAGCGCAGAATCCCCAGTAGTGCTCTGCAGGAAGTAGTGCTCAGTAAATACTGGACGACTAGAGCAGGTACAGTTTTGCAAGACAGGAAACCCACTTGAGTTTTATTAGAAACATTGCTTAGAACATGCACGTTGGAGATATTTTATATGCAGAGCCCACTCCTTTGCCGATGGCTATGGGAGTTCTTCCATCACCTGTTGCATCTGACTGTGTGATTGCGTACACCCGTCATGGTTTCCACACCCCAGGCATTGACGGGGGGTCCAGGAGATCTCAAAGAAGTGTGGACACGGCCTCTGCCTGTCAGATTGCAGTCAGATGGGCCAGAGCAGGCTGAAAGTGGAAGGAAATGGGGGACTTTGTGTCCTGTGCCCCGTGATGACCCACATGGCAAGTTCTCTGGACTTCAGAGGAGGAGAACGTCGCCTGGAAGCTGAGCATGTGGTAGTTTTGAGAAGTGGATAGACAACAGCCACACATTTGCAGAAAGCTCATGCATTACTTCTTTTTTTAAAATTAAATCTTTATTGTTCAGATTATTACAGTTGTTCCTCTTTTTTCCCCCCATAGCTCCCCTCCACCTGGTTCCACCCCACCCCCCTTACCCTCATCCACTCTTCTTATCCATAGGTGTAATATTTTTGTCCAGACTCTTCCAGCACCCCCACACCCCTTTCCCCCCTGAGAATTGTCACTCCACTCCCTTTCTATGCCCCTAATTCTATTATATTTACCAGTTTATTCTGTTCATCAGATTTTTTATTCACTTGATTTTTAGAATCACTTGTTGATAGATAAGTATTTCTTGTCACTTTGTTGTTCATAATTGTTATCTTTACCTTTTTCTTCTTCTTCCTCTTCTTAAAGGATACCTTTCAGCATTTCATATAATACTGGTTTGGTGGTGA